ACTGTGCTTGGTGGGATAAAAAACTTAGCAGAAGCTCCTCCTTGTGGAGATGAAATAGTCATCGTAGTTACTGTCTTACTGTATCTATTAAATGTTCTTATCAGGATTGAAATGTTATTTAAGATTTAGTTGAACTATCTTTGGATGTGTGTATTGATTATTGAAAAGTCATGCCTCATGAATCTATCATGCCGTTTGCTCTGTTGTATGGCATAATGATAGAGGTTACATGGATTCTTACATTTCAGTAGAAAACAGAGCCATAGAACTTGCAGCACTTAATCAAACTGCGCATTCTGTTGCGCCTTTTAGATCATCTTTATTATGAAATCCACATTATCTTACAGTGATAGAAGATATATTGAATCTTAGAGTTAGTTTTTAAAATGTGAAAACCATCAATTAATAGAATTGGTAATGTGTAGGAACACTTGCATTTCTTTTTGGTTGGTATCAGTTCCTTGTTACACATGGTTTCCTTTATATTTAGATAATTGATGATTAGTGTTGTTCAATGGTCGCCGTGGATAAATGGTGTAGCGTTTTTTCCCCATCCATAGGAATGTTTTTAAGAGTGGTGCTCTAAGGAGGTTCAGGGCTTCAGGCGGCTGTTGGTGAGATGACAATTGACGTGTTTAGACAGAGTGCACACTGCACACTGCTTAGATGATCTTAATTACTTGCTTAACTGACAAGTCACCATTTTGGGATTCAGATCAAATCTAGTGATTAGCAGAGTTACTGATTGTAACTTTTCTAGATAGAACTTGGAAGCTTTTCATAGTTAATACTTGCCAATGTCCCTTCCATTTATCTGCTGCATGTTATTCAAATTTTGGTAGTTATTACCTAAGTAGCACCGAGACAGAAACGGAAATGGGGACGGGGAAACTCTAAACTCAAAATATTAAGATACGGGTACGGCAAGGAAACATCGAACTTAAAATTAAAATTTTACTAATATAGGTCATGTTTATGTCCAAGAAATAGAAATAAATAAATCAAACATATTCCTTGTTAGAATCCATTCTACATGCATAAAATAAAATGACAACAGTAAATGTTCCATATTTCAAGATTAAAAGCACGAATCACTTGCTGAAAGTACTGTGGCAGCAATTTAATACTGTGGGTCTGTGGCAGCAAATAAACTAAAGATCACCGCCTCAAAAATAAGCACTAAAGAATAGACAGTTCTACTCTTCCAGTCCAATACCAGCCCCTGTGTCTAGCGTTTAGGTTCGTCGCCGGCGTCTTCAACTCCTCCAGCCTTAGAGTCCGACGCAGACGGTCTGACTTTGTTGTTCCAGACTTCCAGTCGACTGGTGACAGGGACTCACAACTCTTCAAGCCTTCGTTTTCGAGTGGGGATTGAGGAGTCGCACCGAAGGATTGTGACGACCTTCGTTTGGGGATAGAGTGCGGCAGAATGGACGAAGGTTTGTTTTACAATTCAGAAAGTCAGAAACGTGTCGATTGAATTAAAAAAACGTTTCGGAAACGTTTCCCCAACCCGTCCCAAAAGCCCAATAGCCCAGAAACGTTTCCCTACGTTTCCCCGGCGTTTCCTGCCGTTTCCAGGCGTTTCCCATTTCTGAAACGTTTCCGGTACGGAAACTGGAAGGAGATCGGCGTTTCCGTGCTTCCTAGGTTATTACATGAATAGATAGGTGTCTTCTTTCCATTGTGCTTGCTGCTTTTCAGCTTCTGATAACCATTGTATCGTGCTATGGGCAACTTGGTATATCTTACCCCCTATGTCCCAAAATAATTGTCTTTTTAAAGAATCCCTTGCATAATAAGCCATTAAGCCTCCCATGTACCTGTTTAAGTCTAATTATAAATGCCTTCTTATTCACAATACACCTACTGAAGCATTTATTTTGACTTTTCAGAATAGTAAATATGCACGACTTTGGGTTTTGGAGGATATAAGATAATTGTCTCATAAATTCGTAATATTACAATTATTTAGTGATTTTGCGTGTAGCTAATAAGAAACTAATTTTGTGACGCAGGGAGTAGTATTAAGAGTTATCTATTGCTTTGCTTAAAAATAATATGTGAATGAAAATACAGAACACTAGGTAATGATGACCAGAAACTTGAAAATCGATGTAGAAGTATACCATCATCTTGTCATTGTGCAGGGTAATTAAGGAAGAAAAGTATGCTGCCAGAAGGGCTATCTTGCCCATGCTACAAGCTGAAGAAGATCAAAGGTTAGGAGCAACTTTGGCTTTTGTGTCCTGTAATTCATGTACTTGGTCGCACATATACTTTGTTACAACTTATTTCGTCATTGCTCTGTTGGGTTTCAAATCTTTAGATTTGTCAAAGAGTGGAGGAAGTATGTAGAAGAAGAGGCAAGGATAATGAAGGACGTTCCTGGTTGGAAAGTGGGTGAGAGTGTGTACAACTCAGGAAGATGGATGCCCCCTTCTACAGGAGAGCTTCGTCCCGATGTCTGGTAAGGCCGCCTTTATAGTTGCAGAAACAGGCCAGCAGAAAATCATCCTTTTTCTGTAATTGCAGTCTGTACTGTGTCTGGGATGCTTGTAATAATGTAACCTCCAAGTTGAGTTCATGCTGTCCAGAATTGTTGTGTAGTTTTCTTTTCCAAATTCATTTTAATATATTCCCTTAAGAGATTTGGGAGTATTAATAGAACTCTACAAGTTTCGTCCTGTCTTACTCGTTGGGCCATTTTATTCGATGAGAAAGACGCTACATTATGCATTGCTGTGATTTTTTCCCCTTTTATTGGTTAAGTGATGAATTCTGAAGTGAATCAAACCCCGGTTTTAACTTGTAATACAGGGATTGCGATATATATTGTGTATTATTAAACTTAGGAACAGTGAATATAAAAAAAAGGATGACACCCCATCCCTGAGGGTCCCCCAACATTGACCGGACGGTATCACGGTACGATGGGAGGATGTAAATTGGACTATAATCACAATCTGACAGATAGAGAGTGAGGCTCAGTCCCACTGGTACTTGTAGATGTCCTATGCATTTTTAGCATAATAACCTCTCATCGCAGTTGCCGGGATTTGACCCGGGACCTAACCCTTGTGACACTCTCTCATTGCCAGTTGAGCTACGCCCACCGGTAGGAACAATGAATATATGATATACTATGAACGTAAAATTGATATATTCGTTCCTCAATTGCTTTAGCACTTCATTGTCAATGTAATGCTATCCAGACTTCGAATTATCCAAACATTTATTAGTTCGGTCACTCACACAGTCACACCCTAATGTTGACAACATAATTGAGAAGATGAAAGAAAATGATACATAATGCATCTGTGATTCTGTGAAGCCTGGGAAACGCTAGGAAAAATGAAAGAATGGGCTAAGAAAAATATTTTTCCATGTTCGTATTTATCTAAAAATGCAATAAAAAATGAAATGTGATTAATTTTTACATACGTACTAATTGCTATGTACTTCACTATTTATATAATAGAAATAAATAAATACAAATGCATGTGTTCAAATATTAAATATAAATCTACTGAACTTGAACTAATACTCCAGACTAATGGTGTGAGGCCGTGAAGGCCTTGAGTGGCAATTTTTTTAATAATTGGGGTTGGAATATATTAAAACTAAAAAAAAAAATGAGAGATTGCATTGCATAATTAATCAGAAAATCAAGGAACCAAAAATAGCAAAATAAATTCCATCACAAAAATTCTTACACATGTATTCACCTTAGTTCAAACTCATCATAATCTGGCATGCAATTTGAAAGGGCTTGTAAATATAGCTCACTAAGACAAATTATTATATATTCATGTCTAAGGTTCACATCCTTTCATGTGATATTGGTCCGCCCAATCTAGTTGCAAGAACTGTGGGATAGGCGTAGGAGTGGAAAAGGGAGACCCCAATGTACTAAAGAAACTGAAACCGATTGAGCCAAACACTTGGTGTTCCAACTCAGGGGTAGTAATTAATCAATTACCCATATTCCATGTAACAGTACAATTAGAGTTGGGGCTATATTAGTTTATCACATTCTTTGCTACCAAATATAATAAGTTCACATGAAGTTCTAGTTTTGTGAATGAAAGTAGTGCAACTGAATGTACTTCTTACAGTGGGTCATCCATTCAAAAATCTGTTAAATAAATCAATTTCAGTGGGTCTTCCATTCAAAAATCTATTAAGTTAATCTCGATTATGATTTTCAAATGTTGTTCTAGACGGCTAGGAGCTTTACTGTTAATTGTCTTCTCCTCTATATTTGTAGACACATATCCTCGGCTTTTCTTACTGTCTTACTCCATTTGGTTTGTGAGAGTTCACAAATAAAAGTTTGTTTTCTAGCATATTTTTTTTGCTTTTGTGTTCATGTGCATGTATGCATGTAGTCCTTTTCACACATAGAGTTGGAAACATTGACTAAGTTTGGAGTCCTAGAATCCTCCATCACCTCTTGGCCAGTTAGGTTATGAAAGAAAGCTTTCTTACAACAATGTCCTAAACAACCTCAACATGTACAAACAATGTTCTAAACAATCCCAACCTTGAAAACATAGCGATGTCTTACATCAAACCATGAAGTTTTGATCATCATAAAAATGTAGTGTATAGTACCAGGGGTGAGAATACATTTCACTTGCAATAAAAATCAAGATCATATTTTATTGATCCTTTTATCCGTTTTATATAATAATAGATAATATAATAGGTTTAAAATTCATAAAAAAATAAAAGCATCAAAGTACCCATTTCATAGACGGAGAAATATCAAACGGAGCAAGTATAATAAAAAATAAGAAAAAAGTCAAGAATGTGATTTAAAAATTACTAGTTAAGGTGATTATTTACAAACTTTACGTCATAATGATTCTAAAAATATACTCATATTATGTAACAATTAGTCACATTTTTATTCCGAATTTTTATCTAATGGTATTTAGGAAAAAACTCAAATTTCTTTCTAGTTCTAGCATTTTTAAAGAAAATATGCACAGATGGAAAGACAAGGCACGAGGACAGCATATACTCCGTACTACGTATCCGTTTGAGAAGAAAAGAAGAAAAAGAGAATAACGTAACCAACGGCAAAAGACAACAAAGGATAGAGAGAGAGTAGGCAGGAGATCTGCTCGAAGTTTGAAAATTTTCTAAATTCTAAAGAGCAGTATCAGAGAGGTCTCCGTTCTCCTGCCCGATCAGATCGGAGTCCCTTTCTGTCGACCCAGAATTTGCAAATTAGGGTTTTAATTGCAAATCCTGTCATCGCCGTCGCGCGCTTCTCAATGCTCGCTATTTTTTAAAAAAAATCACGCTAAAAACCCGATCCGGCGACAACCGCAATAATCATTGCCTACTCTTCTCTTCTCGATGCTTTTATATGTGCGCATTGGTTCTTCTACGGATTTTAATGTGTTGATTTGTGATCGGTGTCGTGTGGTAGACATTGGGGTGTTAATTTAAGGGGTTAAAAGAATTCTTAAATTGCTATGAGGACCCAGAGACATTGGACATAAAGACATATTTGGATTTCAATGGCTTCCGTTCAGGTATTGCGGAAGCAAGAGCATCTGGAAGCTGGGAAGAAGAAGGTGCGAATTTGTTTTTACTTCCGGTGTAATTGGGCTAGCCTTTTTGGGAAGTTAGTTTTTTGTTTCCATTTTACAATTAAGACCACTTGGAACTGTGGTTGATATTATATGATGAAAATTTTGGTACCCAACTGTATGAAGATGTGGATTTTATGAAATTTCTGCTGACCTATTGGCTTGCTAGGCAATACACAAATGGATATTAATCATATTATTGAATTGCCTCAAAGCTGAAGAAGGTTGTGGGCATCTATCTTGATGGTAGGAAGCATGATTTGTCTTAAAAACATTAGTTTTCCACTTTGTGTTAAGTGAACAGTTCATGGTTCTGTTTCTGTAGTTTGCGAAAATTGACCTTTGTGGGGTCATCGATTTTCTAGTTATTGAGTTCTTTTAGGTAGAACGTTTATTTAATTAGCATTTCGGATCTGCAAAACTGAATTCCACATATGATATTGCTTTACACAAATACCATTTCCAAATCATGTTTAATGTTTGCAAAAATGTTAAAATTTAATTTTGCCTATTCCAAACACATATTAAACAGACTCTAATTTAATGTATATTTTGGTGCATAGGGCTATTTTTAATGCATATATCAAGTTTTGATATTTTGAGAGATTTGTAGTGTAAGACAATGTCATTAAAATTTAGCTCTTTGCTTGAGTAAGATGGGCACTTTTTGCCTTGTGCCTAAGTTAACAGAGGACCTTTATATATGAGTGTGCCAGACTCTTTGACTACCTTGTTGTTTGTGCGTGTGTGAGTTATGGGTTGTTCTTCATTGGGTAGTACAAAATGTACCCATATATGATTTCTTAGCTTTAAAAAGCACACCCGAGGCGTGCCTATACTCAAGGCGCACAGATGCACCTGGAATTTTGCATCGGCAATGCCAGGCGCAGCAGATTCTAGAAGGTGCTTGCTTCAGACTGCTTCTGTGCGCACCAGAGGCTCTTGCCTTTGCACTTTGTGGTATCCCGTAGGGTTATCTCTTATTTTTACTTACATTTTTTACTGTAGGTTTGAACTCTCCTCTAGCAAGCGAACTCTTTTAATTAGACATGTGTCAGGTTAAGACTTTCCCTCTGCAAGGTGTTGCCTGTAGGTTTAAATCAATTATTTCAACATAAGATGAGAGGTTAAACTTACAGTAAAAAATGACCTTTAGACATTAGACAATTACCTCCCTATTCTTTATCAGAAAAATCTATTCTCCTTATATTCCTCTTCTTCGCATTGCTGCAGCAGAATATCAGCACCTATGTACCACTCTGCACACATGTTTTTCTCTCCTCATCTTCTTCTCTTTCTAATATCCCACTCTGACGGCTGTCTCTCTGTTGCGCATTGCTACTGTAGACTACTTGAGTGGTTTCTTCTACTGCTTTTTACCTAGTCCCAAACGTTCAATCATTTTCTCAGTGTGTGCTATGCCTACACTAATGCTGGAAAGAGTTCTGCAATCATGTGGAAAAGACTAATAGACTTTTATATGTTCTAAATTTTTATGTATGTTATGCTTTTGATGTAGTTTTTAATGCTTATACGCTTTCGTTGGTTTGTTTGCTACTTTTCTTTTCATTAAACTTGTGAATTTTTAAGTTTGAGATTGTGTATTATTTTTTGTGACTATATAGCTAATACATCCTATGGTTTCGGTATGTAATTCAGTTGCTTGTCAGTTTATTATTTATGTTACTATACATGTTTGAGGATTAGATTTCTTTAATTTGTTATTATGTTTGAGTATGAGATATCATGCACAAGTAGCATATATACTCCCTAAGTCCCTAGAGAAGATGCGCGCGCCCATGCTTCATGTGGCGAGGGCCTCGGCTAAATGTACCCAAAATCGTCTCAGATTTTAATGTATGATTATAATGTATTCAGATTTAATGTCAAATGGTTATGGCTATTTTGACCTACAATTGATGCTTTATGCTTAAGATCCGTGAGTATTTAAGTAATTTTTAGTTATAAAAGAAGTAACAGCCAGGGGACCTGATAGGAACCACCAGGTAAACAGTAAAATTTACAGAAATTTATTAAGAATCAAAGAGAATTTTATTGAAGATGAACAAGAAGTTCTGGCCGAAGCCCCCAAGATTGAGCCGAAGCCCCCCAAAGAAAGAGAATAGTTCTCGATCTCCCAAAGTCCCAAAGTCAAAGTCTAAAACAGCCTGCTCTTCTCTTCCAGCCCATTCTATTTATACTAGACTTATACATTTTATTATTATTATTATACTCTATTGGGCCGGGTCCCTTACATTTGGGCCGGGTCCCTAACAATTCTCTCCCCCTAAACATCCACCTTGCCCTCAAGGTGGGTGATAGGACACAGCCCCAGTCTTTATCTTCTCTTTCATCCTAGCACCCCTTCCTCTCCAATACTGATTTGTCTGCTGGGCCTTTAGCTTTACTACTTCCATCTTTCCCTCTACGTATTTCACAGCATAGTTCCATAGAGGCCAGAAAATTTGATCCAAAACTTGGATTCCTGCAGGTTTTTGGAAGACCCAATTGCAGCTTGCTGTAACATCGGGGACAGCTACTTCATGCCTTTGAACACTTCCTCCTTCAACGTCCTGTTCACTAGATGAGTCCTCTCCTTGTAGAATCACCTTCTGCCCTTGTATTTCCCATTTGAAGGTCTGACTTTGGAAGTTAATCTCCGTGTCTCCCAAACTTGTTAGCCAGTCCATTCCCAAGACTAAATCCGTGCTCCCCAGCTCCAATAAGTAATAAGTTTGATGAATACCAATTCCTTGCACATTCAAATCTATACCTGCACACCTGCCACCAATTTGAATATATTCCCCATTCCCTAACTGCACCCTATTCCCTTGAAAAGGAGTATAAGGAATCCTCCACTTTTCCACCAAGTTTAGGGACATAAAATTGTGTGTAGCGCCTCCATCAATGAGTACATTTACTATGCTTTCACCTTCATGCCATTTCAGTTTACCTCTCACCTTAAAGATTTTCACAGGGGTTATCTCTTTCTCATCACTTAAAGAAAATTGCATGGTCTTCAATTCTAGAGGTGTGATCTTATCCCTGCCAGATTCCAGTGATTCAAATTCAGAATCAGCTTCACCCTCCGATTGTTCCATTAAGGTTATCTTATAATTTTTCATCTTGCACACATGTCCCCTTCCCCAATTCTCTCCGCATTTGAAACATAGTCCTTTCTTACTTCTTTCAAGCAGTTCTTCTTGTGATAATCGGGGGTTTGTAATCTGCTGAACTGAGTTTGAAGATTCCTGCTTCTTCATATCATCAAATGAATAGTTGCCAGATGAATTCTTGGTTGTGTAGCTAGAACTCCCTCTACAACCATCTCCCCATTTCTGATTTCCATTCTGCACCTTCTTTCTTTCCTCCTCTTTATTCTTGACATACAAGGTTTCAAAATTCTTGTCCTCAATCCTTGTTGCTGTGTTCATGACTGCTGCTAATGTTCTGGCAGAATGCAGCTTCAGCTCAGCCCTAACATCACGCTTCAAACCATTTAGAAATGCTCCTCTCAAAACTTCCTCAGTTAGATGCTTTTGTGATGCCATGGCCACTTCAAACTTATTTCTGTAATCTGCCACTGTTCCCTTCTACTTCAAGCTAAACAATGGCCCCAGAGGATTCTGCACCATTTCAGGTTGAAATCGCTGAGTTAAATCTCTGGTAAACTGCTCCCAGGTTTGGTGTCGTGCTTGGCCTTCCCACCATTGGAACCAGCTCAGAGCTTGGTCCTCCATAGCAACTACAGCAACATCAATTTTCTGTTCCTCTTCAGTTTGATTCAAGCGGAAGTATCGGTTCATTCTAACCAGCCAACCGAAGGCGTCTTCCCCCTTGAAAAGAGGTAAATCAATCTTTCTGCCTATCGGTTCATGATATCGATGATACCTGTGGTGATCGCGGTGTTGATGTCGACTTGAAGGAGAATAGTCGGAATTGTTTTCCGATCCCTCTGGACTAGCTGACTGTCGCGAACGATGATGGTGAAGTGAATGATGATGGTGGCGACGCGGTGGTGAATAGTTGTCATTCCCTTCTGATTCTTCAGAACTCGCTGAATGTCGCGATTGGTGATGGTAATGCGAAGGGTGATGGTGAGGCGAATGGTGATGATGCGAAGTACAATGCGAGGTAGATGATCGATGCGATGCAGATGATCGGTGAGAGAGACTTCGCGATCGACTAGCGAGGTTCTTCTGAAATTCCGCCAAGTTCGCTTGCATCATCGCTTGCATCGATGTCTGAATCGAGGCCAATTTCTCGGCCAGGTTGTCCGCCAGGTTACTCTGCAATTCGCGCATCCTCCGATCCAGTTGCTCTTGCAGTTCTCTTTGATTTCTTCCAATATCCACCATGCTTCGCTCCACCTCATTCATTCTGGCTTCCAATATCGCTTGCATCGATGTCTGAATCGAGGCCAATTTCTCGGCCAGGTTGTCCGCCAGGTTACTCTGCAATTCGCGCATCCTTCGATCCAGTTGCTCTTGCAGTTCTCTTTGATTTCTTCCAATATCCACCATGCTTCGCTCTCTTTGATTTCTTACATATACTCATATTATGTAACAATTAGTCACATTTTTATTCCGAATTTTTATCTAATGGTATTTAGGAAAAAACTCAAATTTCTTTCTAGTTCTAGCATTTTTAAAGAAAATATGCACAGATGGAAAGACAAGGCACGAGGACAGCATATACTCCGTACTACGTATCCGTTTGAGAAGAAAAGAAGAAAAAGAGAATAACGTAACCAACGGCAAAAGACAACAAAGGATAGAGAGAGAGTAGGCAGGAGATCTGCTCGAAGTTTGAAAATTTTCTAAATTCTAAAGAGCAGTATCAGAGAGGTCTCCGTTCTCCTGCCCGATCAGATCGGAGTCCCTTTCTGTCGACCCAGAATTTGCAAATTAGGGTTTTAATTGCAAATCCTGTCATCGCCGTCGCGCGCTTCTCAATGCTCGCTATTTTTTAAAAAAAATCACGCTAAAAACCCGATCCGGCGACAACCGCAATAATCATTGCCTACTCTTCTCTTCTCGATGCTTTTATATGTGCGCATTGGTTCTTCTACGGATTTTAATGTGTTGATTTGTGATCGGTGTCGTGTGGTAGACATTGGGGTGTTAATTTAAGGGGTTAAAAGAATTCTTAAATTGCTATGAGGACCCAGAGACATTGGACATAAAGACATATTTGGATTTCAATGGCTTCCGTTCAGGTATTGCGGAAGCAAGAGCATCTGGAAGCTGGGAAGAAGAAGGTGCGAATTTGTTTTTACTTCCGGTGTAATTGGGCTAGCCTTTTTGGGAAGTTAGTTTTTTGTTTCCATTTTACAATTAAGACCACTTGGAACTGTGGTTGATATTATATGATGAAAATTTTGGTACCCAACTGTATGAAGATGTGGATTTTATGAAATTTCTGCTGACCTATTGGCTTGCTAGGCAATACACAAATGGATATTAATCATATTATTGAATTGCCTCAAAGCTGAAGAAGGTTGTGGGCATCTATCTTGATGGTAGGAAGCATGATTTGTCTTAAAAACATTAGTTTTCCACTTTGTGTTAAGTGAACAGTTCATGGTTCTGTTTCTGTAGTTTGCGAAAATTGACCTTTGTGGGGTCATCGATTTTCTAGTTATTGAGTTCTTTTAGGTAGAACGTTTATTTAATTAGCATTTCGGATCTGCAAAACTGAATTCCACATATGATATTGCTTTACACAAATACCATTTCCAAATCATGTTTAATGTTTGCAAAAATGTTAAAATTTAATTTTGCCTATTCCAAACACATATTAAACAGACTCTAATTTAATGTATATTTTGGTGCATAGGGCTATTTTTAATGCATATATCAAGTTTTGATATTTTGAGAGATTTGTAGTGTAAGACAATGTCATTAAAATTTAGCTCTTTGCTTGAGTAAGATGGGCACTTTTTGCCTTGTGCCTAAGTTAACAGAGGACCTTTATATATGAGTGTGCCAGACTCTTTGACTACCTTGTTGTTTGTGCGTGTGTGAGTTATGGGTTGTTCTTCATTGGGTAGTACAAAATGTACCCATATATGATTTCTTAGCTTTAAAAAGCACACCCGAGGCGTGCCTATACTCAAGGCGCACAGATGCACCTGGAATTTTGCATCGGCAATGCCAGGCGCAGCAGATTCTAGAAGGTGCTTGCTTCAGACTGCTTCTGTGCGCACCAGAGGCTCTTGCCTTTGCACTTTGTGGTATCCCGTAGGGTTATCTCTTATTTTTACTTACATTTTTTACTGTAGGTTTGAACTCTCCTCTAGCAAGCGAACTCTTTTAATTAGACATGTGTCAGGTTAAGACTTTCCCTCTGCAAGGTGTTGCCTGTAGGTTTAAATCAATTATTTCAACATAAGATGAGAGGTTAAACTTACAGTAAAAAATGACCTTTAGACATTAGACAATTACCTCCCTATTCTTTATCAGAAAAATCTATTCTCCTTATATTCCTCTTCTTCGCATTGCTGCAGCAGAATATCAGCACCTATGTACCACTCTGCACACATGTTTTTCTCTCCTCATCTTCTTCTCTTTCTAATATCCCACTCTGACGGCTGTCTCTCTGTTGCGCATTGCTACTGTAGACTACTTGAGTGGTTTCTTCTACTGCTTTTTACCTAGTCCCAAACGTTCAATCATTTTCTCAGTGTGTGCTATGCCTACACTAATGCTGGAAAGAGTTCTGCAATCATGTGGAAAAGACTAATAGACTTTTATATGTTCTAAATTTTTATGTATGTTATGCTTTTGATGTAGTTTTTAATGCTTATACGCTTTCGTTGGTTTGTTTGCTACTTTTCTTTTCATTAAACTTGTGAATTTTTAAGTTTGAGATTGTGTATTATTTTTTGTGACTATATAGCTAATACATCCTATGGTTTCGGTATGTAATTCAGTTGCTTGTCAGTTTATTATTTATGTTACTATACATGTTTGAGGATTAGATTTCTTTAATTTGTTATTATGTTTGAGTATGAGATATCATGCACAAGTAGCATATATACTCCCTAAGTCCCTAGAGAAGATGCGCGCGCCCATGCTTCATGTGGCGAGGGCCTCGGCTAAATGTACCCAAAATCGTCTCAGATTTTAATGTATGATTATAATGTATTCAGATTTAATGTCAAATGGTTATGGCTATTTTGACCTACAATTGATGCTTTATGCTTAAGATCCGTGAGTATTTAAGTAATTTTTAGTTATAAAAGAAGTAACAGCCAGGGGACCTGATAGGAACCACCAGGTAAACAGTAAAATTTACAGAAATTTATTAAGAATCAAAGAGAATTTTATTGAAGATGAACAAGAAGTTCTGGCCGAAGCCCCCAAGATTGAGCCGAAGCCCCCCAAAGAAAGAGAATAGTTCTCGATCTCCCAAAGTCCCAAAGTCAAAGTCTAAAACAGCCTGCTCTTCTCTTCCAGCCCATTCTATTTATACTAGACTTATACATTTTATTATTATTATTATACTCTATTGGGCCGGGTCCCTTACATTTGGGCCGGGTCCCTAACAATTCTCTCCCCCTAAACATCCACCTTGCCCTCAAGGTGGGTGATAGGACACAGCCCCAGTCTTTATCTTCTCTTTCATCCTAGCACCCCTTCCTCTCCAATACTGATTTGTCTGCTGGGCCTTTAGCTTTACTACTTCCATCTTTCCCTCTACGTATTTCACAGCATAGTTCCATAGAGGCCAGAAAATTTGATCCAAAACTTGGATTCCTGCAGGTTTTTGGAAGACCCAATTGCAGCTTGCTGTAACATCGGGGACAGCTACTTCATGCCTTTGAACACTTCCTCCTTCAACGTCCTGTTCACTAGATGAGTCCTCTCCTTGTAGAATCACCTTCTGCCCTTGTATTTCCCATTTGAAGGTCTGACTTTGGAAGTTAATCTCCGTGTCTCCCAAACTTGTTAGCCAGTCCATTCCCAAGACTAAATCCGTGCTCCCCAGCTCCAATAAGTAATAAGTTTGATGAATACCAATTCCTTGCACATTCAAATCTATACCTGCACACCTGCCACCAATTTGAATATATTCCCCATTCCCTAACTGCACCCTATTCCCTTGAAAAGGAGTATAAGGAATCCTCCACTTTTCCACCAAGTTTAGGGACATAAAATTGTGTGTAGCGCCTCCATCAATGAGTACATTTACTATGCTTTCACCTTCATGCCATTTCAGTTTACCTCTCACCTTAAAGATTTTCACAGGGGTTATCTCTTTCTCATCACTTAAAGAAAATTGCATGGTCTTCAATTCTAGAGGTGTGATCTTATCCCTGCCAGATTCCAGTGATTCAAATTCAGAATCAGCTTCACCCTCCGATTGTTCCATTAAGGTTATCTTATAATTTTTCATCTTGCACACATGTCCCCTTCCCCAATTCTCTCCGCATTTGAAACATAGTCCTTTCTTACTTCTTTCAAGCAGTTCTTCTTGTGATAATCGGGGGTTTGTAATCTGCTGAACTGAGTTTGAAGATTCCTGCTTCTTCATATCATCAAATGAATAGTTGCCAGATGAATTCTTGGTTGTGTAGCTAGAACTCCCTCTACAACCATCTCCCCATTTCTGATTTCCATTCTGCACCTTCTTTCTTTCCTCCTCTTTATTCTTGACATACAAGGTTTCAAAATTCTTGTCCTCAATCCTTGTTGCTGTGTTCATGACTGCTGCTAATGTTCTGGCAGAATGCAGCTTCAGCTCAGCCCTAACATCACGCTTCAAACCATTTAGAAATGCTCCTCTCAAAACTTCCTCAGTTAGATGCTTTTGTGATGCCATGGCCACTTCAAACTTATTTCTGTAATCTGCCACTGTTCCCTTCTACTTCAAGCTAAACAATGGCCCCAGAGGATTCTGCACCATTTCAGGTTGAAATCGCTGAGTTAAATCTCTGGTAAACTGCTCCCAGGTTTGGTGTCGTGCTTGGCCTTCCCACCATTGGAACCAGCTCAGAGCTTGGTCCTCCATAGCAACTACAGCAACATCAATTTTCTGTTCCTCTTCAGTTTGATTCAAGCGGAAGTATCGGTTCATTCTAACCAGCCAACCGAAGGCGTCTTCCCCCTTGAAAAGAGGTAAATCAATCTTTCTGCCTATCGGTTCATGATATCGATGATACCTGTGGTGATCGCGGTGTTGATGTCGACTTGAAGGAGAATAGTCGGAATTGTTTTCCGATCCCTCTGGACTAGCTGACTGTCGCGAACGATGATGGTGAAGTGAATGATGATGGTGGCGACGCGGTGGTGAATAGTTGTCATTCCCTTCTGATTCTTCAGAACTCGCTGAATGTCGCGATTGGTGATGGTAATGCGAAGGGTGATGGTGAGGCGAATGGTGATGATGCGAAGTACAATGCGAGGTAGATGATCGATGCGATGCAGATGATCGGTGAGAGAGACTTCGCGATCGACTAGCGAGGTTCTTCTGAAATTCCGCCAAGTTCGCTTGCATCATCGCTTGCATCGATGTCTGAATCGAGGCCAATTTCTCGGCCAGGTTGTCCGCCAGGTTACTCTGCAATTCGCGCATCCTCCGATCCAGTTGCTCTTGCAGTTCTCTTTGATTTCTTCCAATATCCACCATGCTTCGCTCCACCTCATTCATTCTGGCTTCCATTTTGGCGCGCGTATATCTCATCCAGCGATCGAACACTTCTCTGATACCAATTGATAGGAACCACCAGGTAAACAGTAAAATTTACAGAAATTTATTAAGAATCAAAGAGAATTTTATTGAAGATGAACAAGAAGTTCTGGCCGAAGCCCCCAAGATTGAGCCGAAGCCCCCCAAAGAAAGAGAATAGTTCTCGATCTCCCAAAGTCCCAAAGTCAAAGTCTAAAACAGCCTGCTCTTCTCTTCCAGCCCATTCTATTTATACTAGACTTATACATTTTATTATTATTATTATTATACTCTATTGGGCCGGGTCCCTTACCTTTGGGCCGGGTCCCTAACAGGACCACAATCATTCGACAATCTTTGGTTTCAACGCGCACCTCAGTAATACCCCTACACGGTTAATGATTTTCAACCATTAAGTTCAAAATAGATATGATCATTTTGACATGTAATTAGTGCTTAAAACTATTTGTTAGCATTTAACTTTTAGCTATAAAAATATTTATAGTGCACACACACATATTTATCTATACGCCTGTGTGTGTCTATATATGTATGCATAAATATTGTATACGTAGTATATATTAATATATACTCCCTCTGTTCTCTTTCATTAGTCGCACTTTCCATCTATGGAAGTTTATTATTAGTTGCTCCACTTTCTATATTGGTAACTTTTCCTACTTTTTCATAGACATAAATGGTCTTTCCTTATCTTGTCTTCTCCCCTATTTTTCTACATTATTCACTACTCTGGCAACTCTACTTACAATTTTTGTTAAGAACCTACCGAAATGACTAATGAGAAAAAGTGACAGGGGGGAATCTATATTATATAGTTACATATATACATAATATGCACACACAGTTTTGTTTGGAAAGCGGTATTTGTCAATTCATTGAATATTTGTACTTGATGGATGATGGCATTTTGAATCACATAGAATCTGTTTTGGAGAAACATGGTCCTCTTCTGCGAAGCTGATTTTTAGAGTTACAGATGAAAGAAGCCATCTTTAAATGTCAGCTTAACATCCCCAAAAAACTAATTCCAAATCTAGGGACATTCGGAGGTCCATAATGATAGCCAAATGCACCATTGCACCTTACATTCTTTTTACCAATAAACAAATTATTATTTATATGGGGTCAGCAGTGTGCTATGTTTAAAGATAGCTGATTAAAAGAGATTTTTTTATTACTCTAGATCTTCCTGAACCATTTTTCTGGAGCTGTTGCACTTGAACTTAAACTTCTGTTATCCTTGCTTGGTAGGAGGTTAATTGGATCCCTTTTTCTATTATGATTTGCATCCCCCAGTAATTGGCTAATTAAATTGTTCTTGTTGCAAATCACTCTTTATTGCTTGATGTTGTTTACATCGTTCGTTAATTCTTTAGCATTTTCTTTACAGCTAGAAGAGTTTCGGAAGAAGAGAGCCGCAGATCGGGCAAAAAAGACACCGCCAACTAATCAAACCCATCCCTCTGATGGGGGTTTAGAGAGGCAAGCTCTCGATACAGAACGATTACAACCAGATTCTGGTGGGGTAGGCACATCTAATACTGTTGCACTATCAGCTTCGGAGCTTTTTGGATCCGATAAAAAGTATGATTTAAAGGAAAATGATATTCAACAGAAGACCACCTCTGGTACTTGTGACTATGCAAGTGCTGGTTTAAATTCCGATTATGATGTTACCTTCTCCATCTCAGAGTCCTCTCATTCTAAAGTTTCGGAGTTTAAAGGCAATGATATTTTAAAAGTGTTGACACCTGAAAATCATAGCGATCATCACCAAATGAAAGATGACCATGATAGAGAAGCAAGAAGTTTTGCCTCTGAAAGTGCATCTGATCATTCTGCTGATAACAATTCACTGCCTTCTTTTTCGAATAGTGGTAGAGCATCCAGTAATTCTGATTTTGATGGTCTGTATAGAACTGGTTCAGGCTCAAAAAAGAGCAGCCTGAAGGATCTTTCTGCTGTAAATTCTAGTACTTCTCATACTTTACAGAATGATTCATCGGAGAATACTGCTAGTTCTCAGCTGCCAGAGAGGGCTAGTTTTACTGATCATTGGGGTCAGACAATTGCTTCACATCGAGGTACTTTGTGGCTATCTGTAGATCTCTTATATATTTCTTTTCTGTACTTAGTTCTCAGCTCCATCATTTGCAATGGAGCCAAAGATTCATTATTTTTTGGTTTGGGAATATGATGGAGTAAAGCAAAATGACTCACTAAACTATGTGCGCTTCTTTGTTATGAAGCAACAGTGAGTTCATGTAATTTTCGATGCGATTTTCACTATGGGTCATCCAGAAATAGTCTTTCTGTGCTGTAGTATAGGGGTAAGACTGCGTACATCTGACCCTCCTTACCCCACCGTAGTTGGGAGCCTTTGCGGCATTGGGGTAATGATGATGATGATATTTCTTCTCTCTCATTGGATATATGAACCATGCCTTTATTTGTATTGCTCATTGATGTATACAATCTCATAACATATACTGTGTTTTATAATAGACTCTATATCACCTGTTGCTAGCCTGACTGATTTTTCTTCACAAGCCGGACAAAAAGATGGAGCCTTCCAACATAATTATTCTGTTCCTCATGATACTGGATACCGCCAGTTTCGTGGGTCGGCTACTTCTATTGGCAATAACTCAACTCCATTGGCATCGGATGCTGCATATGGTGGTTTCCGTTTTGATGGACAAAGTTCATATAATAATGCACAAATTTCTCCTCCATCAACTGGGATTGCTGCTAGGAGGCCCCGCTCTTCATTTCTTGATTCAATTAGCATTTCCAGAGTTTCAGCTGCACACTCTCCTCTTGCTGAGACAGTGAATGCTGATACTTCTAGTTCCAAGGTTCATCTTTTGGACAATTTAGGTTCTTCAACTTCTGAGAGATTTATGAATTCTTTGGATGCATCTGGTAATGGGACTGACATGTTTAAATATGCCTTCGCTAAGTCCGTGGAGACCAACCATAGCATTCACCCACAAAACCAAAACGAAGATTTTGCTGCACTAGAACAGGTCTGGTACATATACTTATGAATTGGCACTGTTTTGTTTCTCATATGCCTCATAGCTAATCTATCTACTATAATATGATAAAAAGTGGTTGCCTATACTACTGTTATAGTTATTGAATCTTCTGATATCACTCTCACTTTACGGGAGCTAAAAGATTTAGGAGTTCCCGTTCACCACATCTGAAGTTAAATTTATACATATTCTAGTGTGCTATTAAATGCAACATGCTTTGATAATTAAACGTTCTGGGGTATCTCTTTGAGCATCAGAAGACAATCTTTTAGTAGCATCTTAGCTTTACTTACATTCAAAAAGATGAATCTCCTAGAATTCTTTTGGTTTTGTCTTTCTCTTGCAGCATATGGAAGATTTAACATGAAAAATTCTCTTGTTACTTGCGCTCATTCCAACTTAGCAGAACCTTCTGCTTTTTTTGTTTTGACTCATCAACCAACACCGTGTCATTCGTAAATAGCATGCACCGTGGTACAATATTACATCACCATAGATATATCTGATTAAATCTCCCATGACGAGAGTCAGGAGAAAGGAGTTAAATGCCTATTCTGGATGTAGCCTAACAAACAGGCTTTACTGTTTGTCTTCACTCAACTGCTTCTTGAATCTTGATACATATCCTTGATTATGCCAATATGTTCATCCAATTAGATTTTTTGGCCAGTCTTCATTCTCAAACTTGTATATCACTTAGTGTCCAGGGTGCTGTATAGCATCCTGGCACTGGTTCATCTTTTCTCTCTAACATTTGGGCCATCTGCCTGTTACCTCTTGGTGCTGATTACTTATTAACAAAAGATGAATCTCTGAGCAATCTTGGGTTTTGTTTTTCTTTCTCTTGCAGCATATAGAAGATTTAACTCAAGAAAAGTTCTCTTTGCAACGTACTCTTGAGGCTTCACGAATGTTAGCAGAGTCTTTAGCTGCTGAAAATTCAGCACTGACAGATAGTTATAACCAACAGGTATGTCTATGTTTTGATTTTCGTTGAAGTTGTAATTGTTTATATGGTGACCCGTTGTAATCAGATTTCTATCAATACTTATTGAATGGTAGTATTTTATATTCTTTGTGTCCTTAAACTCTTAAAGTTTAAACTGACTTAAATGTAGGAATAACATATGATGCTAATCATGATATACTTTCTGCTTGCTAACATATTCAAAATTGTGTGTAGACATTTTTTAAATACTTGAAAAAATATATCAGACTATGAGACCTTTGTGTGGACCCTTTTAATTATCAGACCTTTGTGTGGACCCTTTTAGTCTCTCTGCTTACTCATTAATTTGCAAGAAACTAGAAATGAGTTGACCGGGTGATCTCAATTTCAATTAACACTGTTTCTATATGCTTCATGCTTCAAACATGTAAATCTTTCTACGAGATCATATATTTTTTTGTATGCCCTTCACTTTTTGCCAGAGAACTTTAAGGCTAAACTATGGTTGATGTATTATCATTGATGTAATAAACTAAAGCTAAAGGGTCCAATAGGCCCTTGAACTGACTTAAAGTGTTCAATTAGCCCCTTATATAGGAGGTTCTGCCCGGCCGTCGCTAATTGGGGCAGTTCCCGGTGGAATTTTTTGATGAAATTTTTTGGGCATCTTCTTCATTAAGTCTAGTCTACTCATACCAAATTTCAGCTAAAAATTCAACCGGGAAGGCAGTCAAATGATTTTTTGAAGATAACTGCGAAGTTAAACAGCGCAGTACATTTCGGAAAATCATTTGACTGCCTTCCCGGTTGAATTTTTAGCTGCAATTCGGTATGGGTAAACTAGACTTAATGAAGAAGATGCTCAAAAAAATTCATCAAAAAATTCCACCGGGAACCGCCCCAATTAGCGACGGCCGGGCAGAACCTCCTCTATAAGGGGCTAATTGAACACTTTAAGTCAGTTCAAGGGCCTATTTGACCCTCTAGCCCAAACTAAACATGAGAAGTATCAGAAAATATCAAAATTATGAAGTTCAAGTGTTTTTTTACATTGCCAATTTGTCAATGTAAAATTGACAAATTATGAAGTGTATTTTGGGGTCTTTGAGTAATTGACTCCTTTATCAGTATCCTCATAAGCTGCACTAAATATCTTGATATACTCATTCATATATTACTGTTTCCACTCACTCCATTTTAGGGTGCCAATTTATTGTATTGAAAATGTGCTCTTGTGCTTCCTCTTTCAGGGAGGTGTTGTTAATCAGCTAAAAGCTGATATGGAGGCTTTGCAGGAAGAGATTAAAGGAAATGTGGTTCGTCTTGACTCTTGATGGGAGTTGATTTTCCTTTTTAATCTTTGTTATGCTGGATACTTGGATGCTGCTCTATTTGCTTCATACAATATAAATAAATCATCTACCAATAACATTATTCCCTTATTTCATAGATACAACTATTCAAAATGTACGTTCATTTGGTGATGCTTCAGGAAGTCTCAAAACAGCAAAAGAAAGCATTCATGAATGCATAGTTCAGTTAAAGATTATAGTACACTTTGTAAAAGGTTTAGTATATCTGTATATTTAAGAGTGATACAATGACTGTAGTAGCATGAAAACTCATTATTTGCATTGTGGTCGCATTATACATATCATGCATCAAAGTCCCCCCTTTGATTTTATGTAATGAAAAAGTAGCGCTTCTCATTTGCCTCATAATTCAAACATTTACATGTGTAATTGGTTCTAGCTGAACAATAAATTTCTCTTAAGGTTGTTGCGTATTCTTTTTGCTGATTCAAACCATGTAAACAGGCTGAACTTGAGGCTGTGAAGGCAGAATATGCCAATGTCCTGCTTGAATGTAGTGCCGCTGATGAACGCTCAAAGCTTTTGGCATCTGAAGTGATTAGTTTGGAAGAGAAGGTAGTTTCTTACTTCAAACGTGAATGGTTTAGTTTCATGCCTATTTGCTGAAAATTCCATACTGTTGTGTCGCACATTCTGAATGATTTGATTTGCATTTGATCATTCAGAAATGTCCTTTGCTAAAACACTATTCACTGTCCTCCTGTCTTAGTTCTTTTTTATTGGTAAATGTTCTTTGCTGCAGTGATCATTTGCATTGAGAGATGAGTTTTTTTAATGTCAAGTAGCTATGGTATTCCTAGGCACAACTTTTTCAATTTTGGCAAGTTATAAACCACTCTAGATCAACAATTTTTTTTAAAAAAAATTACTTATTGGTTTGATTAAATTTATGATGTTTGACTTGTTAGTTACACTTTAGGGAGCATATAATATTGGATTTACTTCCACTTTTCCAAATTTTATATCTTTTTGTCCTCTTGCTCACAGTATTTCTGTAACTTCGTCCTTGCAATTTCTTCTAGTTTTTCTTTTTTCCCATTGTCTCCCTTTTCCCATTTCTTTAATTGTTTGTCCTCTTTCTTCTCTTTAAATTATAGATTGGATATGTGCTAGCACTACGTGGTCATCTCTCTCTCTTACTAGGTGCTTTATGCTTGTTTAGGCACTTCGGCTGAGATCTAATGAGCTTAAATTGGAGAGGGAGTTGGAAAAATCACAAGCCCACATTTCTTCTTTCAAGTATGGTCAAGGCTAGTCTTGTTTGTATATTTTATCCTTTATCATTTCATTGTTTTGATCTGATTCAATCATCCCTTCAAAATCTAGTTTCCAACTTTTAGTAGTCCTTTCTCGATAGTCAAACCCTGACCTAAAAGGTGAGGTGAGGTGAGGTGAGGTGACTTTCAGACTATTTCTTTTCCAGACAATATCTTTGTTGAATGCTATTTCTATTATGTAACATATTAGTGCGTATAGGTGATGCATATTTGGGTTGATCTTTCCCTATTTTGGCCTTGGTAAATTGTGGGGGTTTTAGTGTGTGTGTGTGTGTGAAAAAATTAAGATTTTCCAGAGAAAAGCTTTGCTTTCTATATAAAAGGGAAGCTGATGCTTGTGGGCTTGTGGCTTTGATCCTTTGACATTCCAACTAACATATTAAAATTGAATCCACACTCCACAGGCAATACCATATTTCTCTATTTTTCAAAAGATAAAGCCTTAAAGGTTATAGACAATTTGTCTTGTCCTAGTATGTGCATTTTTAACCAAAGTGTTCTCTAAAGTTGGTTTTCATCTTGAAGTGGGTCAGAATGGGCATTAATCAATCCTGCCATGGTTACACCCCAGCAGTGGGACCCTTGTTTGCATCTATTGTTCTCAATATGCATGTGAATTTAAAATTATAAATAATGAATTGAGCAAAATACCTGTGGAAGTTGACAGCTGGTTTGTTTTCTTTTGTTCATGCTGTATTAAGTATTTTTAACAAACCGAGCATTCCAGCCCAGTTGGTTGTGAGGTTACCATGCCTAGTGAGAGGTAGTCTCGAGTTCGAAACCAGCTAAGCACATAAGGTTTAGAAACTCAATGGAGTGAGTTTCAGCCCTGATTACTCTAGGCTCCCCCCCAGACCCCCTCCCCCAGACCCCCCGGAGGAAAAAAAAAGTATTTTTAACATTATTCTTTTGAATTGTGCAGAAAGAAAATAGCTAGCCTTGAAAAAGAACGTCAAGATCTTCATTCAACTGTTGATGCTTTACAAGAAGGTAACCCTTCGACTGTGATCATGTGTCTGTGTCATCCTAAATTAGAATGTATTATGTATCTTGAAACCTTTTGAATTGTCAAATCACATTTATGTGACTGTATGCTTCCTCAATTCTTGTGCAGAAAAGAAGCTCTTGCTGTCAAAACTACGTAAAGCTTCTGCTAGTGGCAAGTTTGGCGATACTACCAGGAGTTCACCTAATAAAATAGACGTGTCAACGTCAACACAGGATCTTGGTATACTAAAAATGTTTTGTTACTACTTCATAACTGAACCTTAATTTCTGATGGTTTGATTATTGTTTTCAGATAACAATGAAGGTGTGACTACTGTAATGGATGATCCAAACCTGGGAGATCAGACTGCTGCTTTTAGTGCTGAGGCCTCCAACTTTCCTTTTCTTTTTGATGGCGGACAACTCAGTTTTGAAGGTTCAGCAGTGTCCATTCCTCCTGATCAGATAAGAATGATCCAAAACATTAACATATTAGTCTCCGAGGTTCTTTCCCATCATTTCTGTTTGTTATATTCTTTCTCTTTCTTTAATTAATTGTGGTTTTCTGCGTTCCTACTCTTTTAAGCTCACCACTTGCTACTAATAGATGGCCTAAAGATTGTGCATGTCAATTTTGTCAATTTTTCGTCATCCTGTCTTTACAGTTGGCATTGGAGAAAGTAGAGTTGATGAAAGCCTTTTCTGCAGAATCATCTGAATGCTCTAAACTTAAGGTAATCCTAAAGCATTATGTCTTGTAGTTATTCTGTAGCTTAATTCTCATCATAATCTTGTCGGTTTTTTTATGTTATATTTTTTCCGGTTGAAGGAGTTAAACAAGGAGCTAACACGAAAGCTTGAAGCTCAAACACAAAGGTTGGAGCTCTTGACTGCTCAGAGCATGGCAACTGATAATGTTCCTTTAAGACAGCCGGATAGGCCTTTCCATGAGAATCCTACGACCTATGCAGATGAGGGTGATGAGGTAACATAGACATAATTGGTTTTTAATATTTCATCAACCTTTACCAGTGTAAAAGGCATTTCCATCTTCATCACTACCTTAATCACAATTAATTGGGGTCAAGTGGCATGGATTTAGAGCCTTTTTGGCAAGACCTAAAATGGTTGAAGTGAATGAATATGCTTAAATGCTCTGCTGAAATTGTGGCTAGATTGGTTGAATTGTAAATTAATTTTAATTAAATTAAATAATTCATTTTTCAAAATGAAGAATGGAATTCATTTTTCATCAAGGGCTGCTTTTCCACTGCAATCAGTGAAGTTTGATGAAAACTTTGCTGACACTCCAGGAAAAATGAACACCAAGCACTTTTCATAATTCAGTTTATACTATAATTCCATGCTAAAAGCACAATGCCAAAGTTTTATGTCAGATGCCCTTCGTGTGGCAACCTTCTTTAGAAGGAATTTTGAGATGAAATCACAAAACCACCGTCATCTTGTAACACCAATGCTTCTTACTCGTTTGGTGTGCTACTAGACTGTCAATTTGATTTGTAAAATCCTCCTTAATCAGGTGGTTGAAAGAGTATTAGGGTGGATCATGAAGCTATTTCCGGGAGGGCCATCTAGGCGAAGAACCAGCAAGCTTCTTTAGTATTTGCCATTAAAGACAGACTCCTCCCTAATATATCTCATCCTTGTAATTTTTGCTAGGCAAAAGTTTGTAATTTTGTGGCGACACATACAGACCATTCTTTTTTTCCCTATAAAAAATTCTTTCAGAAGATTACACATTGGAAGATGGGAGTGGCAATAAAGGTCTCACCTCAGCTGTGCATTTTTTCATGTGGAACTACAAAGTCATGGGAATGCGAGATATGGCGTTCGAATCAAAAGAGCCAGACTGAGAGTGAATGCAGATTATTATGTGTTAAAAATGTACTATAGACAACAATATACTTCATGAATCTCAAGTGAAAGAAAATCCATTCATCTTATCATTTGCAGGAGTAATGTGACTTCGTTGTTCTGCCAAATACTTGTATGCTTTGGCTTAGCACAGAAAATGAAAGTACACAGATGCGTGTGGGCGGTGTGGCATTATAGGAATTGTATAAAGCGTTAAATGATTTTATTCCATTTGTATCTTACATATTCAAGTTAACTTAAATCCGGCAGTACAGAAAAACAGTTCGGTTTAATAGAAAAAGATTATGGTTTAAATTTCTACCGACAATTGAAGTGCAGACTACACCTCAAAATACACGAAATACTTTCCCTGAGAGTAAAATTAGTCAGTGTTTATAGTATTCATCTGATTTTATAAATTTCATTGTATTCTGGTATGTGCCTATGTCGGGCTATTCATTGTATTCATGACTTGAAAATCCATAAAAAATTTCATGGCTTTCTCAAGAGTTCACTTATTAATCCCAAAAATTATCTAATCAACATAATCTTATGGACCCGGTCCCGGAACCGAGACGGCGAGACTTGTCCGAAACTGCCCGGTTTTGAACCAGGTCTGGGACAGGAAAATAAGGTTCTGGTCCGAGATCGAAAATGAACCGGTCGGAAGGTCTCGGTCCTGGGCCTCCATTTTTTAGACTGGAACAAGTTTCAATGATTCTCTTTGTTTTTTTTCTATTAAATAATTGGAAAACATTTCATATGAGTTGAGGGTTCAATTTACAGATTTTTTTTTCTCATCGTCAACTAGCCTTCTTTCATATCATAAATTTCAGGATCATTACATTAGTCAAAGGAAAAACAAAACTGGCACCAACTAAATTCCAACAACTATGACCATAAACCCTATGATTAGACTTGGAGACGGTCACACCTGAAAGAGTAATGCAAATCGCTAACCATGTAGTGGACTTGACACAGTCATTCCTGTTCCCATAGATTCAAACATACTCAATGACATAAAAAAGGTTGAAATCCCAAACAAACTGACAAACCTAACAACATAGCTGATAACAAGAATCCAAATGACAAAATAATAATAATTAATAGGAAAACTTTCACGTACTCCATCACCTCGTACGATCCATGGTGGTGGTTCCGGAGGAGGCCGTATCCTTGGTACCATTCTAATTGACCATCCATTGTCAATCGTCATCTGACCTGCTCGAAAGCCGGGCAGCTCTCCTCGTCCCGCGCTCTTAGCAAATCCACCGCTAGCGGTCATCTTCATCGCTGCCATGCCCTTTGCTACCCAAACTCATTCATCCTCCCAAAAAAGAGAACTAATCGGATCGCCTATTGTCTGAGATCAAATCGAAAGGAAACGCTGTAGCAGAACAACATTCGACAGCAACCGAGCGCTAATCCTGATGACTTAAGCCAAACAGAAGCACACAGATCGAACAAAAACGGCCGGAACCCACGATCGGAATTGATTGCCACCGGAGAAAAAGGCTCTAGCGGCTAGGAAGCCCTAGAGAGATTTTAACGCTGTTGTTTCAATTTATAGCTTAAAAAAGGTGTAGATGAGGAGGGGAGGATTCAAAAGTATTAAAAAACTGAAAAATTCAGGACTGGTTAAGGATCGGAACCGGACGGGAACCGGAAATAGAGGTCCTGGTCCCAGCCCTCCATATATTTTTTGAAAGACCGGTCGATCTGGAACTAGGATCCATTCGGACCGGGACTAGAAATCATTGGAAAACATTGCACGAGTTTAGTGTCAATTTAAAAGCTCAAAAGAGGTGTAGATGGGGTGGGATGGATTCAAAAGTATTAAAAGGGTCAAATTGCTACAAACATGTAAATAAATCACTGTTGTGATAAATATTAATTGTTCCTACAAGAATTTATATGCTTTTGAAACATATATTCTTCATATTTTAAAATCTTATTAATATCAATGAAGGTTAGAGTGTTTTTGGCATATTAAATGTGTTGGTGTAACACAAAGCAACATATTCTTGTACATTATGCTCTCATTATCTTATAAATACCAATGAAAGTTAGAGTGTTTTTGGCATATTAAATGTGTTGGTGTAACACAAAGCAACATATTCTTGTACATTATGCTCTCATTATTATACCATATATTTTTATCTTCTTTTGCTCCGTGACTTCCGTTAAAAACCAATCGTTCAGCCCTGTATACGGAGTATTCATTCTACCTTTGTTTTTGATGCGTCATTTGGAAATTGTAATATGGAGTAGCTTATACTCGTAACAAAGAACCGTTCTCAGAGCTAAAAGCAAAGGCGGCAAGATTGGCGTTTTGCGCCACGACTTATTACATTTGGCATGCTAGGAATGCTTGTAGATTCGATGGGAGCACGCCGAAGGAAGAAGAGGTCGTTGCGAAGATAAAGCATGTGGTGTACAAAATTATGTACTCCCTATATCCGCATGACTTGATTAGGTTTTGAAGATTGGCACACGAGAGGAAATTTGGGCGGCCGCGGCATACACCCTTGGACGACATTGGTTGCAACCGCAAAATTATAACTAGTGATTGATTCTATGATTTTGTGAGATCTGTGTGCTAGCATCCTGGCAGCACCGATTATTTTTGATGTAGGAGGCATTTAGTATTTTATACTTAGACCTTTGTTTTTTGGACTTGGAAATAGATCGAATAAAAACCTCTCTTCACCCCTACACTAGGTAGGGGTGGGGGGGGGGGGGGGGTTTAGGAGATCTTCATCGTGGTTTTTGATGTACAGTTTTGGGTGTTAATATATATTTACATTCATCCAAAAAAAAAAGAACCGTTCTCATAAAAAGAATGAAAGGTAAAAAGGGTACTCCACCAAAATAACCCAAAAAACCCAAATTATGACACTTGGCATTTCACAGTAGGTGTTCATCTGCCCTCAACCCCACCACTCAACGAAGAGAAATAATACATACGTATTATGCCACCAATACTTGGAAATTGAAAACCGATCCCATGCTACATTAATGAAAATTTCACTAAGAACTAAAAAACAAAGAATATGAATGCATGAAGGAATAATGTCAAAAATATTAGTAATGACTTTTACAAAGACAAAAATATGAACTCAATTAAAATTAGACAAAAAACAGACTAAACTTAAATCAACTGAAAGAAATGTTCCCGACCTTATTCTTACGTTCGCAGCACCCCTCGTCCTTCGCTCTTGCGCAGCAAAGCACCGGCTCTCCTCCTTCACTGCTCTCATCATCAATCGTCACCGCCAATTTCTTTTTCTTCTCCTTTCTCTCACGTGGTGGCGATGGAGGACGATGAGATCCAACAATTTGCAGAAATCAGCACGAATTGCAGATACGATGGCTTCGGAGCAAATCCAATCGGCGAATCTGAGCGGCGAAGATGGCAAATCTGGCAGCGGCTAGGGTTCAATTATAGTGACGGGCGAGTTACAGGGGCGGCGACTCCGGTTTGAGGCACGCGGCTAGGTTTTGCTTCAGGGCTGAGGAGGGGCCTGGTTCGATGTGGACTGGGAAGGGTGTTGGGGTGCTGGGACATGGGGCTCGGGAAGGGAAGGGCTATGTACGAGTGTACAAACATTGCAGTGGGCGGCGGTGCCGACGTGGTGGTTTTGGGCTGCGATTGTGCAGGACTTGGGGCTGGGGAGGGGCTGGTGGGTTGGGTACGGGCTGGGAGGGGTTGGTGGGTTGGGGGAGGGGATGGGGAGTGGGCTGGTGGCTGGGGACAGTGGGGAGGGCTGGGGAGGGGGCTGATGGGTCGGGAAGGGGCGGGTGTAAGGTGGTGGTTGTCAACGGGTGATTGTCGGGGAGGTGTTCGGGGCTGAGTGCGAGTGTGGGGGTTGGGGTGGCGGGAGATCGGTCGCGGTCGACGACGACAATTTCACTGAACCAGAAACTGTCACTCTGACATATTTTTCGGCGGCAGTGACATGTTTTCCGGCGGCAGTGACATGTTTTCCGGCGGCAGTGACGTTAAAATCTGATAGTGACATCCGTAAGTGACATTAAAATATGGTAGTGACATTTCATGGTGACACGAAAAAATCATAGTTACATAAAAGTTCACAGTTACATGGTTACTAGAATCCGATGTCACTGAAATTGTAGTAACGGAGGCGGTGTCACTGGAACGGTAGTAATTGAGACGATGTCACTGGAGCGGTAGTAATTGAGACGATGTCACTGAAGCGCCAGTAACTGGGACGGTGGTCACTCAAGCGGTTGTAACTGAGACGATGTCACTTGAGTGCTAATAATTGGGACAATGTCACTAAAGCGGTTGTAACTATGATAGTGACCAAAAGTGGTGGCTGTAACTGGGACAGTGATAACTCGGACAATTGTCAAACAATTTTCATATCTGAAATTTTATCCTCAGAAATAAAATTGAAATAAAAAAACATTAGTTTTTGTAGATTTATTATAGAGTGCATGGATTGCATTTAAAATTTGAATTGATATTAAATAAATAAAAACATCAACTGTTATAGAGTGCATTGTTAACGTAGTATATGCCACCTTTTTCAAATAAAAAACGTAGTATATGCCACGTGTAACTTCTAAGCTGATTCAGAAGGTGTTGTTCAAGTGCCGTTTCCAATTTTAGTAGCCGCTAGGTCACTTTTTCGGCTTTTTTAAATTGGACTCACTTTTGTGGAATTGGGCCTCCTAATACTAATATTGGTGTCCTTTTCCCATGTATGAACACAAATAAGAGAGGGTTTTATTGTATTGAATTAATATTAATTAACATTTTTCTATTATGTGAGATGTGCCATTTTTTGTGTGCTTTATTTCATAATGTATGCTTTATTTAGTTACATTTAGTTACTTTATTTAGTTACTTTATTTCATACTCAAGTGTGAACTCGAAATCTCAGCCTTTCATTTTTAAATTGATTTTTATCTCAATTTTACTATTATGCCATGTGTTTCTTTCTTGATATGCCACATACGCTTGCAATATTGACTTGTAAGGTTTGTACACACTTTGCATACTAGATACGCTTAATTAGGACCACTGACTAGCCGACAAATTGTTTAGATCAAGATGTTTTCTCAAAATTTATTACAAGACATAGAAAGATAGTTCATAATTGAAGTCTAAGAGCCAGTTTGGTGACCTTATTTTTAGGCTTATCAAGCTTATTAGTCGGTCTTTTCATTAAACACGTGACTTTTGATTTCACGCGCTGAATTGTGTAATAATAAGAAGTAAGGTTGGAGTTACTTTTATGGCTATATGGGCTGAAGTTACTGTAGATGACATTTTTTGCTATTTTTCTTATATTTTTTTCTTTATTTAATTAATAAAATATATTTTACATATAATTTTTT